TGCTATATAAATAAACTTTGATTTGATTTGCCTAATAAATGGTCCAACTGTGGGAAACATTGAGATACTTTACTCTATTTTTTAGTACTTGTGGATGTGATATCGAGTTTCTTGTTCTGTTTTTGTCCATAAGTTCTCAATATGTCCCTATTAGACATGAATTATGCTGTTACTTTATTACTACAGGATGCTAATGTCTCATATAAACTTTGTGTGAGCTGCTGTGCAAAAGTCAAAGACGAGGACTTAAACCGGAGAAGCTGTTTACTCTGTTCTTACAGACATGAGACACGTTTTAAAAACATTTCACTCATTAATCTAAACATTGGAGCAGTTCCCTCCATAAGGAGATGCTTAGATTTCCCTTCAATCTCACATTACATATTAAACATCAGTATTTCTATTATTTGTCCACTAATGAAGGATAATTTGTTTTTTACCAGATGATTAACACCAAAGACAAAGTGGTTCCCTCTGTTGAAGAGCGAGAAGAGAGAGAGATGGAAGAGGAGGAGGAGGATGATGAAGAGGAGGACGACTCGGAGAACGAAGAGGAAGATTCCTCAGATGATGATGATGATGATGAGGAAGGAGAACATGAAAAGGAAGCGGAGTCGTCGTCCCAAGATGCAAACGAAAATGCTTCCTCGTCTGACGGGGAGAAAAAGGAGCCGTCGGACGGCCTGAACCTGAACAACGAGGTGGTGAAGATGAGGACGGAGGTGAAGAGGGTCAAGGCTCTGGTCATCAGGAAGCTCACTCGTCAGATCGCTATGCTGAAGAAGAAGAAGGGGAACGAGGCGGAAACCGAAAGGAACCAGAGGAGAGCCGCCAGGCTGCTGGAGGAGGTCCACAGCATCAAGAAGCTCCCTCCAGACGTGGTACGGCCGTCCTGCTCCGACCCTGCACCTTACAGGGAGACCTTTGTTTGGTTCCAAAGTCAGGATAGCAGTTTATCTTCATTCCTCAAACACTGATGTCTTTATTTGCTTTTTAATGACACACCAACACAAATGACACATTTAATCTAGAGCCTGGTTCAGTTAGAGCTTTGCAAATCCTTGACCATCATCATTGTAAATAAAAACTAAATGCTTAATCACCTAACTAAAACAGGATTTACAAATAATACCCCAGCAGGATGAGGTGGAGTTCAGAGAAACCTTTTATGCCCCTGGAATGAGCTATACATTGGCATATGAGTAACAAAAATGTGACAATGCTCCTTTAAGTCCTTCACAGAAAGGCTTCCTGGTAGTTTACCCGAAAAAAATAGAATTACTGCTTTTCCTTCAACGATCAACTTTTAGTGTCACATGAAATCCTAAAACAACAACAATAGCAGTGATGTTATGAGATGAGCCGAGGCCTCGAGGCGTGTGTCGAGTAATGGAGGGGGCGTTTTTTTCTTTAAGGCGCGTTTTAAGCATAATTCATTTAGGGGAGGGGCTAAAATCAATGACGTCCGAAGCCTCGCTAGCGTGATGCTGAGTGACCGCTTCAGGAAGTAGTTCAGAAAGCGACAGGCATTTAAACAGCCTCAGTATTCAGTCAATATGTGTAATATATGTGCACAGTTGTAATTTAGTATTAAGTACTATTACTGTCTGTTAAACAGTATTGACTGTTCTGTTGACTTTCACTCCTGAGGTTGATGGTTCGAGACCCACCTTAGAGTTTGATAGTTGAGATTATACTGAAGTATTTTGGCTAATGAGACTAATTTGTGTTGGTTTGCCCCGGTAAAAATATAGATTGGGTAAATACACTGCCAAATTAGATTGGTTGGTTTAACCAAAAGACTGGTTGAACACATAACTTCCAACCAGATAAAAAAAAAAACCTTAGAAAAACTATAATGTTTGAATAAAAATGACTCCTTTCACTGTCTGCTTGAGCTTATTTAGCTAAAACAGCTGAAAAACTGTATACCTCAAATGATTGTTTTCTTCAAAAAAAAACGTACAAAAGATTTTATTATACACACTGATCATTAACTATTTCAAAGGAACTTAAGTGGGGGAAAAAAACAAGAAAATAAAATTGCAGAAAATTACAGATGTTATTACTAACTGTAGTTCTGCACTCCACCAGTAGGTGGTGACATGTTCACATGAAGCTTCATGAACTGTGGGGACGTTGAAGCAACGGTTCAATGTTTCATGAGGCTTCATCTCAGCATCACTAAAAAGAACCTAAATGTTCAGAAGGTGTAAATCAGGCGTGTCCAAGGTCGGTCCTCTAGGGCCGCTGACCTGCAGGTTGTAGAGGTTTCCTGCTCCAGCACATCTGATTTCCATTGATAGCTGATTATCAGGCTTTTGCTGAACTGCAATCAACAGAATCGACTGTTGAAGCAGAGAAACCTCAAGCGGCCCTCGAGGAGCGACTTTGGACATGCCTGATGTAAATACTTTGCAATGCAGGGTTCCCGCAGGTCCTTAAAAAATCTTAAAAGGCATTGAATTCTTCAAGATAAAACTAAGGCCTTAATTGGTATTAAAATGTCGTAAATTAGTCTTTCGTAGGTCTTAATTTTTAAAACCTCATAAAAAGGATTATTTTTATTATGATTTATTTTATCTAAAATACATTTTAATGTTTTATTCTAAATAAAACATTAAAATTTACCTTTTTTTTTTATTTTAAAAAAATAATGGCTAACCATTATTGGTTCCGTCCCGATAGAGGAACCAATAAAAGCGTTGTTGCGGCCGGGACATTTGGGAGATGCGCCATTAACTTTTTGTCTGGAAAATATGAGCAAGTGTAGATGTAATGAAAGCTGTCTCCAGCCAAGAGTTTTTTCCATGGTTAAAACCAGGGAACATACATGAGGCTCAGTGGGTTTTGTGCAAGAAGTCATTCAACCTCGGAACGATGGGAATTGAGGCAGTGGAGTCACAAACGCAAAGCGCGAAACACAAAGCGTCAAAATGGAGTTACCGAGAAACAGCCGGTATTTCTC